GCCTGAATTGCCCTGCATTTGGCATGCTGTATACATGTAAATAATTGACTTTATCATCTACTGTACTCAACAGGGACTGCAATGGAACTCAAAGGAGTGTTAGTGCAACTTTCATTGATTTCAGTGCAACTAGTGGAGTGATTGGGCCCAAGGTGTTATTTTGCTCTAAGCTGATGTTGCAAATGCAATTGCTCTTGTCTACTGGGGGAGGAGAAAAGGAGAGAGAAATATCAGTGTGAGAATCTGGGTCTACAGACAACCAGAAGTTCTGGTAAAACCCCAACCAGAACCCTACAAATAAAAATAGCAAATTTTTAAAAAAATTGTATATAAAATTGTATAAAAATATCATCCAAGCGAGAAGAAAAGGAAAATGCTCACTCTGCCATTCTATCACTAGGATTTATCACTAGACAACACCTATGGCCATAATTAATTGTGGTTTACATATGCACTCCTACAGTCACCCAGCAGAAACTATGGGATTACACATATTCCTCCTACCACAGGATGACTTCTAAAGTTGGGGCAACAGTGAATACACAACAATCCCTGTACATGCACTCTGATGAAATAAAAACAAAACAAAACCCAATAGCCTGCCATGAAGTGTGTGTGTGAGTGAGTGTGTGTGTGTGTGTGTGTGTGTGTGCACGCGCGCATGTGTGTGCGCGTATGTATATGTGTGTTGTATTTATATATCACTCAGGGTAAATTAATCCACACTGATATCTGTGCTGTGCTGACTAGACTGTTTCAGATACCCTAATTAAATTAGTTAAAACTAGTTTGGGTATCACTACATTAGTCTGCAGGATGCAGAATTGTCTTAAACACATAAGATGATAAAACACAGTGTCACAGCTCTGCCTTGTTATGAATGGGAAATCTCACTCTATTTTTGCTTGGAAAAAATAAGAAATAATCCAACAAAGAGGGACAAATTGAAATCTGAATAAATAGAAGCAAATTGGCCAGTTTTTGCTTTAATAAGAAAGAAGGTTACCAGGTCAAAACAATTTGTTTTTCATTTTGAAACCAGTGTTTAGCTATGAAAGAGTCCTGGCTGGTCATCAAATCCATCTCCCTGCAAGAGCAGGGTAATCGCCCCCTGAGAGAAGATGTTAAACTACTACATGATTTGAGCACACTCTGGGCAATATTCCTTGTAATGAACTGGGGTGATTGTTGACTTCAATAGGAGCAAGGTCAGAGCTTTAGAAGACTGGCAATAAAATCTATCTTTTCTTTCAAGCCATATGGTCAATGTGGATCTCCCCTCTTACCTCTGTGATTTACATAAAGCAGATATTAACACAACTTTATGTTTAATATCTCCATATTTGAGAATCACAGATCTGAGGAGCCCAGCTCTGGGAACAGTATGAAGTAAGTGGGTAGAAAACACAGCGCTATTGTTCTGCATTTCAGTACTGAAAGAAGCAATATGTTTAAAAAGAATAAGCGGACCTGATATATCCGTTACTAACACATGAAACCACACATGGACATAAATCAGGAGATGTGGTCCTGAGGTCAATGGACTTACACTTCTATGATATTGGTGCAAGTGTGAGGAGAACTGATGATTAGATAGTCAAATGATTAGATAGTTAAGATCATAGAAAGCGCTCATGGAGATATACCAATTTATCCCAACTCAGGTTTTGGCCCTCATGATGAAAGGCCCCATTCAGTTTCTATAATTTTCAAATTTCTAGTTCAATCCAATCCACTTATCACACCAGCAGGTGAAGAAGGCAGTTGTTGCTAACAGTCTTTTCCTGGGTCAGTTCCTTTCATTTCCTCTGAATGTTTACCTCTAATGTGGTTTATAGGTTGCAGAATTTGGAAAGGGCGAAAATTTAAGGTCTGTTTTGGTACTCATTAACCTTGTATTAGGGAACCTCCTGATGTGTAGGCAAATTTCCACGTAAAAAACTTCAGCAGTCAGTTCTTTGCACAAAGGATCAAAACTGCCCCTTCCAAATCCATGCAAACCGATGACAAAAAGCCTTTGCACCTTTAGATTCCATCTTCTGTATGCATACATGGCAGCTTTTAAAAATTGTAATCACTTTTTTGTCACAAGCACAGAGGCTGGATCATGACCCTTTTAAAAATGGACTCCCAAGCTACCAGTAAATGGATGTTGAAAACAAACAGCTAAAAACAATGCTCCTGTTTTATTTACCCATCAAGGGTAAAGGTTCTGGGTTCTCAAGGATACAATACAGAATATAAACTACAGCAAAATAAAGGGATGCATCTTTATGTAAAAAGACTACAACAGTCTGCTCAGAATGAAAACTAGATTAGTCTAAAGTAGCTTTTAAACCTGAAATTATAACATTTTTTAGTCACCAACTTGTGCTTTCTGGCATCTGTTTCTTTTGCAGCTGTGAATAATATCCCAAACAACAGATATTTTGTTTAAAAGGAAACACAGAAATCTGCTCTCAAATCTTAGGCAAAAAGCTGTGCAGTTCATATCTAAAGCTGGTCAAGCAATAAGAATAAGGACTTGACCATTTGACTTTAAATGAGACACAAAAAACATTTTTTCCCCCACAAAAAGTCCAAGTTTTATCAACACATTGGGCACCTCTACATGTGCTATTAAGGTGAAGCAATAAGCTCCAGCATGTTTAGCCGGGTCAGAGTAGCCCCGGCTGGCAGAGGGATCGGGGGGTCAGCCTTCTAGTCCAGGGCTACTCCAACCTGGTTCAACATGCTGCAGAGGGGCTGGCTGGGGCACAAAGGTGCTCCAGTGTGGGGCTAGTTAGCAAGCAACCCCTGAACCAGTGTCTATACATGCAGTGCTGTGGAGTAAAAACCGCAAGTACTACTATCTATAAGTACTATCCCGCTGTGGAGTTAATTAGTTTCCTAATAGGGCTGCATGTGTAGATGCAAGAGGTTTACTGCAGAGCTAATTAGCCTACTCTTCAGTAAACTTCTTATGTAGATGTGCCCGTTGTCAGCTTTCTTGGGAAGGTGTCGGAGTTTTCTCATCCATCAAAACATTGCCTGAGTACAGACCTGAAAACTCTTACTCTTTAAATCAGGTGCGAGCAATTATTTTGCGTGGAGGGCCACTTACTGAGTTTTGGCAAGCCATCAAGGGCCGCATGACAGACAGCCAGGGGCAGATAACTATTAATTTTCTAAATTTTTTTAGGGACCCTGTGGGCCGGATAAAATGACCTGGCGGGCCACATCTGGCCCGCAGGCCACACTTTGCCCACCCCTGCTTTAAATAATGTGGAAAAAAACGTTCTGACATTGTATAAGGAACAGAAAAGTTCCAGAGAAGTGTAGGCGCTAGTGAATTATCATGATGATCGGATCCTTTGAAAGACATTAAAGAGGAGAAATTGGAGGGCATGGCCATCAACATCCCCTTGTTTGCAAGGTGTAAGTTGTCTGGGTTCACTCTCCCAGATCAGGAAGTTTCTCGAAAGTCCACGAGTTATGCTGCTCATCAAGCAAGGTAATGTTTTGTGAAAAATTTGAATCACATTCTCATCCTAGAGCTTGAAGTATCCTTCTTATTACACATATCAACTTTGAAACCTAGGTCTCACTCTATTACTTCCCTATGGCATTCAGTTGTGCTCACATGCATGCAACTCCCATAACTGGCAATGGGAGTTAAGCCTGAGGTGGGCCAGCAGAACATGTTTTATATTTTCAGTATTCTAGCTTATTATTTACTTGTCTTTTCTAATAGTAGCAAGGTTAGTAAGGCATCTAAAATTTTATTTTCATGATATAGTGAGCATGTCTACACATGCATTTATGTCACATTAATTTACTGGGCATGCGAGTTATTGTGCAGTAAGTGGAAATAGGCCACCATGTACACATGCAGGTGTTAAAGTGCATTAACGCTGTGTGTTCACACACACACAGTGTTACTGCGCAGTAAGGCGTCTACACGTGCATTACTGCACAGTAACTAATCAGGAGTAAATTAGATATTTGCACGATGCAGGTATCTAATTTATGCCCAAATTAGTGTAAGTGGCCATAGTTACTGTGCAGTATGGGTGTTCATGTGTAGATGTGTGCCCATACTGTGCAGTAATTTAGGTTACTGCACAACAAATGTGCACATGTAGACGCACCCACAGGGAATGCATAGCAAAGGATTAACAACAGAAATCCTCCCCCATGTTTCATATACTGAAGATTAGGCCTGTGCAAAGTGGCTAGTATTTGCTTTGGATTCAGATTTGGCCAATTCGGGGGAGAGTGATTTGACTTGGTGATTCGAATCAGCCAAATCTGATTTGGAGTTTGGATTGCTGTCAAATCTCTGAATCAGCCAGGCCCATCCCCCACCCACTCTCCCAGTCTGGCAGTGGCTGCCCTGCCCAACCCAGCTCCCAGCTCTTTGGAAAAAAAAAAAAGCCCCAACTCACTGGGTGCTGCCAGGTGTGTGTGTGTGGGTGGGGGGACAATCCTCACTGCACTCCCCACTGCCCCACGCTGCATGGGGGGCTTTCAATGACCTCCTGATCTCCCCATGCTCCCCCAGCCCTCCACGGGTGCCCCACCAGGGCCAGCTCCGGCCCTTTAAGAATAAACCCCCCAACCCCCCCGGACTCACTGTTCCTGCCAGCGGGGGTGATCCCCGCTGCCCCCCACTGTCCTGTGCCACATGGCAGCTCTGCACAAGCCCCACCCCCGAAACCCCGAGGCTGCTGCAGGAGCAGAGAGTCCCGAGGCTTGTCTCCATTTTTTTTTCTTAAAGAGCTGGAGCTGGCCCAGGCAGGGCAGCCATGGGGGGGCCGGGGGCTCATGCAGAGCCCCCGTGCAGCATCGGGCAGTGGGAGGTGCTCGGGAAGCTCTTGGAGAGGATCATCAAGGAGCACATCTGTGGGGGACCTGCAGGGGAGATCATGCTCAGGGGCAATCAGCATGGCTTCACCAAAGGCAAATACTGCCCAAATCATCAAAGCGCTCTGATTTTTTTTCCAAAGATTTGGAGAGCTTTGAATCAATTCAGACCTTTTAATTGGTCCCCTGATTCAATTCAGATTCGGAGATTTGGCCACTGAATCAGGCCAAATCTCCTCCGAATCTAATCACCACCTGAAGCTTCACATAGCCCTACTGAAGATACTATATTTATTAGGCCCATACAGATCCATTCATCCTTGTATATGGAACCTTAGTTTAATGCACTCATAGAAATCTTTTGTGAAATAAGAGAAAATTAAATGGAAGCAGTTTTGCGATTTTTAACAAGCAGGCAGCATCTCTTCTGTAGTTTGACTGAGATGACAAGAGGGATTATTTTTTGCCTCTCCACTACTCCTGAGTGTTTTAATAAGACAGGTTTCAATGAGAAAGGAGTACCACTCCTTTCTCATTGAATGTGGTCAGTTAGGCCCAGATCCTGAAAAGACAATCATATAGATAAAGCTTTTCATCTTTACCATTCTATTGGTAGTATCTTAACTCCCACATTTATGTTGTTTGCAAAATTTAGTGATAAGTTTATATTCAATTTTGATGATATTTTTATGGGGTTTTATGAGTTTATATTCAGATTTTTAAAGCCAGAAAGTCTAACATCCTATATATCATAGACCATTACATTTCACTCAAATACCTCCATGATTGTCCACTAATTCATATTTGGCTAAATTATACCTTGCAGAATGGGATCTAAACATGATCTGAAGTCATCAGGAGATGAAAAATATATTTTTGGGGACAGTTTCTTCCAATGGTTTATTATCCTAACAGAGAGGAAAACATACAGTCTGATGTTGCAGAATTGGGCTAGTGGGTGACAGCCAAGAAATGGCCGACCATAAATAAAACAGTCTCTTTTCACTGCTCAAGAGCAAGGTTTTATAAGAAAAATAGTTATAGTTTGAGATAAATTAATTTTTAAATGACTTCAGTTTTAATGATCTAAGCAGCTTTAGTACATTAGGTAGGGATTTTTGTTGAAATATAAGCTAAATCTTATACCACTGCTTCAGAGCTTATGCACATGAAACCCCCAATAACTTCAATAGGAATTTCAGCTGAGTGAAGGTTGAGCCAGCACTGCAGTGTTTGTCTCTATGTTATTTATATGTTGTCATTGTCTCTTTAGAGAATTTAACAATGATGGAAGGTCAAACTATAGCTGCTGTGGGTGTGGACCACGCTGAAGCTGATGGAGATTCTGAGGAAGCAGCACCTGCAGAACTGGGGTTTAAGGAATTAGATTGTTCTGGGTTCTTTTCCTTGTATGAAGAGGGACCAGCTGATGAATTCCTGACTCTTGATTCACTACAGTAGTTTTTTTAAATATATTTCTTCCGAGTAAAAATATTTCATTAAGAGTTAGTTTGTTCCTAGTATGTGACAAACCAAAACTAAATCTCTACCTTGGAACAAACTCATGTTAGGGTGTGTGAAATAAGAATTCAAATATGAATCTTAATGTTGCAAATGGATCTTGCCTTAAATAACGGGTTGACCCCAAAACCTGGACGCAAACGCTCCTGAGATCTAAGGAGTTCAAAGTTGAAATCTAGATCCAGATAAAGCTCAGTTTTGCTAATGTTAAGTGAGACTAGTACAAAATATGGCAACATTTCCTACAGGCATCCTAAACATTGTTCATCCCTGTGCATTTTCATCTTAAGTAGAAACAGGGATTTAAATTCTAATATAGGCTGGTGGTAATATAAAGTCCTGTGCTTTTGAACATGAAAACAAAATATAGATGAGTTGATTTCTTCTAGGCTAGTGTTTTCCATCTTTTCTATGAAGTAAAAGGGCATGAAAGCAGTCCAACTGGTGGTAAAATAGGTGACTACACACTGAATAAAAAGAACCAAGAAAAACAACTTGTGTGTATATGTGTGTGTTGAATTACATGTAAAACAGGTGAAATTAAGCTGTAATGAGCTGGATTCTTACCAAGCTGAAATTTAGCAAAGCATTTAAACGTGTGTGTTTAATGCTTTTCATGAAAAGGATACTTTGCTGAACCAAGGCCTGAGCAAGTTAGTTTATATTTCATCTTGAAAGCTCGGCCAAATTCACTGCTGGTGTCAACATGTACAACTCTATCAGCTCCACAGACTTGTACCCACTGACTCCAGCAGTGTATTTGGGACACACTGTTTTTCATCTTTCTTTGTCTGACCAGACTTTTGTAGTTACATTTTTCCTATCCTTTGACTCATCCATTCAATCAGTGATGAAAGAAATGTCACACTGAGTTGAAAGAAGGAATTGATCTGTGTGATTCCCTGCTGCCCTCTTCCTTTCAGTCCTTTGGGTCAGATAAAAGTAGTTACAAGTAGCAGATGTGAGAAACAGATCGTTATTTGTAATTACTAGCTATGGAAGACATCACAAATCGTACGTCCCCTTAGAGACTGAAGGGGCAACTGCCCCCTGTGAACGTAACATTTGCGAGTCATTACTTTTTTTTTCTGTTTTGCTAAATGCATAAACAAGATAATTCAAAGACTGAATGAATTTGCCTGCAAAATAAAAAAAACGAAGCCATCCGTATCATCAGATAGTGTCACAAAAAGCTGTGTAACTATATGAAATCCTCATGAGCCTGACATAAACCTGACAGGCTACAGATTCTGAAACTCACAATGCTTATGAACAAAATCCTCAGTAGCAAGGCTAAAACTGATATCATGTTGTCTGCTTAGCAGCCGTTGAAAACGACTCTTGAAAAAAAAAAGTGCAATAATTTCAAGCCTCTTTCCACATGGTTTGATTTTCTTATTCACCATTTCATCCCATGTTTCATACAGTGGGGTTATAGCAAAGAGCTGTGTTGGCTTCTAAGAGGGTCCTCATTTATTTGCTTGGCCTGTCCAGAAAGTGGAGTCATTGTGTTAAGGAAAAAACCCAAAGAACTGAAGAAACAAAAACACACCACGCGCGCGCGCACAGAGAGAGAGAGAGAGGGAGAGAGAGAGAGAGAGAGAAAGAGAGAGAAGAAAAAGAAAAAACAATCCCCAAAACCCAGAGTCATTAACTGTGACGCAGCCAGTGGGAGGAGGAGTGTTTTGAAAGCTGTAATAACGCCTTCCCCAGAAACTGGTCTATTCGGAAGGAGGAGGAGAGGAATGAAGAAGCTCAGCTAAAATGATGAAAGAAATTTGCAGTCTCTTTTATATATTTTTTATTCTTCTGTATCTGGAAAAAAAAAGAGAGAGAAGAAAGTGTCAATGCTGCCTTTTCCGCCCAGTGTCCAAGGAGCAGGAATCTGGGAAAGAAGAAAAAAGGGTATCAGTTTAGACATCCTTATTCCCTCCAAATTGCACAGCCTTGCTTAATTTAAAAAAGGTCACAATGGACACTGCAGGATTGACCTTTTGCTTGCTTGATTTAGAGCAACGTGCCCTCCTGCATACAGTGGGGCAACTGTCCTCCGACAGAAATCAACACAAGTTTGATTGCAACAGGGTCAGATTCAGGCTCCATGAAGATCATTTTAATATTTTTCAGTTTCCAGCACTCTGACCACCCTTGCTTAGCAGCCATTTCTGCATCTCTTTGACTGTAAAATGGGCATATGTATATCTATGTGGGGAGTGAAGGCTCTCCACATGAAAAATGCACTCTAAAAGGCTCTGTTTCACAGAGAAGCAATGGCTTGCAATAAGAAGATTCAGTGCACAGCTTCATCATGTATGGGTAGCTGCCTAACATCTCACCCAAAGCATTTAGTTTATGCACTTTCTGAATTCATAGTAAATAAAGAGCCAGTTTAGCAGAGTAGATTTAAAGCACTAGCTTGAACTGGATCACAAATGTGAATGAGTTTGGTGGCTGCATTCTAATCTCTAGAAAATACTTGTTCACAGCCCCACATAATTCAGTATACTGTCAGCCTCTTGTCTAGTAGCACATGCCAGGATGTACACAAATGTATATAAATGTACATGCCAAGATATGTACAGTAATATGCATAAAAATTAAGGTATGTTGGTACCGCTGTGTGGTTAAGTTTGTTTTGTTTTTGTTCACCTTATAATTAAATTAACCAGAGTCTGTTAGGTTCATAAGCATTATATTTATGCCTGAATTACATAAGTTCACAGGAGATACATTTCTGAAGTCACCAGCTCACAAATGCAAGATACCTTCTAGTACCTTCACACAAAAAAAAACTAAAAAAAAAAATACCTTCCAGTAGCAGAATAGAGTGAACATTGATTTTTCATGGTATTTTATGCTATGTTTTCAGTACAGCACGAGTACCTATTTTGCTGTGGACTTATGGTAAAGCAGGGCATACGTGAACAAGTTCTTTGAGGGAGATTGCTCTTTTTAGACAAAATAGAATAAATATTGGTAGATACGGTTATTCTATTAAACACTGAAAGATATGAATTGTATATTTGTCTCAGATAACTAAATCATTGGTTTTTCTCTGCTCCCACCATCTCAGAAACCTCCAATGATGAGCTAAACCTGACAGAAGAGCTAACTGGGCAAATAACAACTCAAAGGTTCAAAAGTAAAGTGTGCTGGACCAAATTCATCTCTAATGTAGTAACTCAGTTCACTTCACTGATTTCAATGGAATTATACTGCACATGACTCTCCATACTGAACTGCTCTCCCTGGAGATGTTTTGAGAAATCAAGAAGCATTTTTTTTTAATTGCCAACAAAATAGAACTTATCCAATAGCAAACGACCCCACTAGCAGCCTTCCTGGAAAACCTCAGGTTAATTAGACAAGGGTCAAGTGAGTTTTGAGATGTTTAGGTTCCTGTGAATAACCAGTATTTCCAGCATCTACCCATATCAGCTAGATGAAGTTGATGGGTTGGATAATTAATTCTATCCAATAAAACCCATCTCACATACAGTTTACATATACTGTAATCTCTTCTTGCTGCAGGAGTGATTCTGTGCCACAATTATTTTTCTCTGTCACCATCCATAAAGAAGACAGTGTTTTCTTTTAGGCAAAGACCATGGGTTTTGCAACCTTAGGTTTGCTTTCCTGACTGCATCCGAGACAAAAGATACTATGTCTGCTGAGTACACAAAATACAGCAGCAGTTGCACAAAGTACCTGTCCACAGATATGTCTCATACTCTTTTATTGTGCACACAGCGCAGGGACTTTTCATATTCTAATGTTCTGTGAGTTGCTGAATTGATTTAAAAATAAAAGAAAACCTTGATATTCCACCTACCAATGTGATTCCCGAGAATGTACAATTGAGAACTAGGCTTCACTGGGTTTCTAAAGCAAATTACACCTCCAGATCCACTGAGAACATCATATAATGTCTAACAACAACGTATGTCTCCGTTGCTTCCTATATCTAAAGGAGCTCGATCTGATTTACAAATGTTAACCTGACCTCATAACAGCCCTGTAAGAAGCTTCATTACCCTCATTTTAAAGAGGAGCTACTAAAGTACACAAGGTTAAGGGCATCATTTAGCAGAAGGACTGAGCCCACATAAGGCCAAGTGAAGTCAAATGAAGCTGTGGGTGTTCAGCTCTTATTTTGGAATATCAGGCTTTAAATGATCTGCTTATGGTCACACAGTAAGTCTCTGGCAGAGCTGTAAGTAGAAATTACTCCTGTGCTAGCCTTTAACCACAAGACTAACTTTTCTTCTCCACTCACTGGAAGGAAAAAATTCCCCATATTTTGAAAGTTCTCTGTGGGGAAAAAGAGTACATATTGCTTTTCATGTCTACCCACCTCATCATCAGCTACTCTGGCAACTAAATTCCAGCACAGGTTTCCCTCGCTTTATGCAGGTTCTGTATATGCAAATTCACTGTTATGCGATGACCCTTCTTATACCAAAAAATGTTATATTCAAGGTAAATTCACCCTTATGCTATTGCCAAGGTGGAAGCCCGCAGTCAGCTGCTTTGTACAGTGCATGGTGGGAGTGACGCGCACCAAAATATAGTCTTCTGCGTGCATCTGTGCTCCTCGTCATTGTCTGCAACATGTTTCTGTAGTTGCCATCATCATTATGGCTTCTAAGTGTCCCACTAGCTTATCCAAAACAAAACTCCAGTGATGTGGAGTCTGACACTGAAGATCCTTCATCATCCTCTCTTCATACCAACTAAGCATTCACTACCACCACTCTGTGCTTGTGTGTACTGTCTGCTGTTGGTGAGTACCAAAATTGTCTTGTAAAAGTGGTAGAAAAGGGTCTGGGGGTCAGTACAGTCAAGGTCTTGGAATGTATCCCTATTTGTTATATTGTAAAGTGGGTTCCCTTTAAGGAAATTTGAGTTATGCATCATTTTCCAGGAACGCATGTACAGCATAAAGCGAGGAAAATCTGTATCGTATTTGCTTAGCACAGAATAAACCAGCACAAACAATTGTTTTGCCTTTGGAAGGATACTTTTGGATGAAGCAAATAGTTTGGCTCATTAGGTGGATAGCTCTTTGCGTACAATATGGCTTTTCTAACAGTGTGGAATCCAAAAACTACACTAGCCCTGGAAAAAGTTTTGGATTCACACTCATTTCAAATTGTTTTTAGTGCAAACATTAGCATAAATTGACAGAGACCACTAACAAAGAAAAAAACATACAGTATTCAACATCCAGCACGACTTTAAGCAGGAAAAATGGGAATAAATTTCACTTCACTGTCAGAAATAAACTTATATATATATGTGCTCGTGTCTTCAATTTTTGACAAATTGATTTTTGTCCTTGCTGACTTTAGATCTGGTTTTCGATCACTACTGAAAATATTAAAATGAGATATAACTTCTGTTGTGACTTCCTTTGTTCTCCATTCCATAATAGTCCTCTACTCAACCACTTCCAAATTGGACAGGGTCACTATGCCTCAAACCTATACTAACGGGGCCTTCTCAATGACAACAAATGTGCTTGTGGACAAATTCAAACCATGACCCACATTGTAGACTCATGTCCATTTACTATGCTGTCTGGTGGCCTTCAAGTTCTTCACACTGGTGATGACATTGCCTTAAGATGACTGACACAATATGCTGAAACCACATGTATTAATAAAATAAATACTAGTGCAGACTTAGAGACAGCAGCCTAATAATAATTGCATCTCCTCTACCAATTTGAAATATATATTACGGTATTTTCACCTAGTTTGCCTTTAAGTGTATTCTTCATAAGGTTTTTAAGTGTCTATTTGGGCCAATTTACTGAAATATATATCTTACTGTTCTATATTTGCCTCCATTCCTTCTAAGGACTGTGCAACTTAACATGAGGCTGACTGAAGATCTTGGAAAACCAGTAATTAGCCAGTGATTAACATTCATGTCTCCCTGACTAAACAAATATCAAAAAGTCTTAGAGCTTACAAGTATTAGAACTTGAAGTATTTGGTATCAATTATGCCTGTCTAATTCTAACTTGGGCTATCTGCTCCCATGTACAGTACAGATATAGAACTGCATAGTCATTCAGAGTTGAGATGAGAGTTCAGACTGAGTCAGAAACTAAGCCTGTTATGTGCGACTCACTAGGCACATCTACATGTGATTTAAGGCGCTTTCCCTAATGTGCATGAAATTTAGTACCTCCAGGCACCTAGACACTATATGCAAGTGTGGAGGCTACTCCAACATGCTGAAATTCCAGAGCATCAGAGCAGATTTGCTAATCAAGTCTGCTGGAGTGTGGCAATTGCTGTGCTACAGCAGCCTCCTGCATAATGTGTGAACCCCCCGCCTCTCTCTGCACTTAAAATCTTGGAGCCACTCTAATTAAAATGCCCCCCACCACCCCCAGAGCACATGTAAAACTGCCCTCCAGTGTGAGGTATTAAACAAATGCACATTAGTCTTCATGTCTTAACGCACAGTAACGTATGCACATGGTTTTTAAGTGATGTTTAAGCTAGTGACAGAAGTTACACATAAATCAGTTTAAGTGATCAGAAATTGGTTTAAACCTGTAACAGAACAGAAGTTCTGTGCACATAAACTAGATTCAAAATGGCTGAAACTGGTTTAAGATAAATCAGCTTGAATGTAGTATCAAACTTAACTGATCTGAGTCAAACCAGTTTATGAAACTTCTGTCCCAGACCCCTTCCTGGTTCAAGTTAAATCACAGTCCTCCAGTATCCCAGCATGCTTTCCAGCTCTGGGCTGGGCTGTGCTATCTGCTCCAGCAGAGAAAGGTTGTGGGGAGGCAGGGACTGCCCCTCATGAGGCAAATCCCGGCTGGGGTCTGGGGCCAAGGAGGGCAGTTAAACGTCATTTCCCCCAAGTACAGAGCTGCCCTGCCCTACCCTGCTCAAAACGTATTGCTTGCTGTGACTGTGGGCTACAAATGTCAGAGGCACCTGAAAGCAGGAAGAGGAAATGATAAGCAGCTCTGAAGAGTCCTGCTGCTGTGATTCTGGAGTACAAATCTCAGAGACCTCGGAGGCAACAGGAAGAGGACAGGAGGCAACAGGAAGCGAAAATACAGCCCATACTGGCTACATGCCAGAGAGCCTGCTCTAGCACCCCCCAACTTCTGCCCTGAGTCACTTAAAGTATGTGGCTGCATTTCCTAAATCAAAGGTTAATGTCTGTCCAGTTGTTTCTCAGTTTAATCTCTGCAGTTTAGACTAACCTGCAAAGATTGAATCAATTCAGCCTTGGGATTTTTGATCCTCTGTACTTAGCCTTAATGTGCATTTTTACTGTGCATTAGTGTAATAGCATCTTTTTACATGATGCTTTAATGCTCAATAAAATAGGCTACTGCATATTAAAGCACACATGTAGATGCACCCTTTGGGCAAGATATTTAGTTGCTATAAATCAGTGTAGTTCTACTGAAGTTGATGGAGCTACAATAATAACAACAGCTGAAGATCTGCCTTATATAGATAATGCCTGTTTTTTTTCCTCATCAACTGGGTGTTAGCTCCACAGAATTTTGGAAGGCACAATACCTCCCTCCCAGAGCTATCACTGGGTTCATACAAATCCCACACATCTCCTGATACAGTGCTGTCTTCAGGACATAGCTAAGCCCAACAGTTTTAACATTCTTAAATTTTTCCCCCTAAAAGTGCAGTGCCAATGGAATATAAGAGACTTTGATGTGGAATGAAGATTTTTAATTGGCAGTTTTTTTGGAATGATCTGCATATGTCATTTGAATAACTCATTCACTCTGTATTGATACAGTCCATATACTACTTCAAACTATCATGTACTCTCTTATTTCTCTGTACACAGAGCATATGTGGCTAAATCACATATCCCATGTATTATTGTGTCACTCTCATATTTCTTTATCATATACAATTTTTTTTAAATTATGAAGATACAGAGTAACACTATAGTTAGGACTGCACCAGGATATTGTTTTTAATGTGGTGATTTTCCAGCTCAGATCTGAAAAAATTACTTAACATTTCAAATTTTCTCTTCTTATCATGCCATATTAATGTCTTCAAAGTATGCCATAACCCCACCGTGACAAGGAGAGAGCATTGGTTCTACTATCCTCTCATGATATTTTCTGTAGGAAATAGGCAATGCCCCTATTAGCAGTATTCTCCCAAAGCACATTTTATTCACACTCCTGATGATAATGAAAGTCCACACTGTTCATTTCTCATTCTCTCATATTTAAGCTAGTAGGAAAATTTTAGTCAAAGATGGGTTTCATTAGAAAAAGCTATTATTATAAAACTGGATCTTTTAAATTAAATTATATTGCTCCTAACAAAAAATCTCACAAACAAACAAAACAACAAAATTTGTTACGAGCAACTATATTGCTTCTAACAAAAATCTCAGAATATTTCAAAATAATACTATTTCCATTTTGGAGTTATTTTGTAAACTTTAGCATTGTCACAATACTGTGTTATACTTTCCCCAGTTCTTTTTATTTTTATTTACATTATTTATTATATGTAAACAGCAGTAGCAGTTAACACAAAGAGAGAGATCCTGTTCCACCCATTAAGCCCATTAAATCCACTCTGTTGCAAGTATTAGGACCTAGATGCCTAATAGATGGAGAAGGATCTGGGCCAAAGTGTTAAATTGTTATATTACAACAAAAACGTCACTTTAAAATTTCTGGTTATTTCCAAGGAAAACTGAATGTTGCTCACAGTTACTAGAGTCCTGTTTGAGTGGGGAGGGAAACAAAGCAAAGCAAAACAGGAATAAATAATAAGGAAAAACATATTGAATACTTGTTTGGCATTTATTTGAACTGGCATTTCTTGCATATAACAGATGACCCAGGTGTTTAACATTCATTTTGCTGGGGGGAAAATGGTATTAGCATAGAAAATACTTTCTGGCTTTGGCACATAATTATTCTTAAATCAATCATGACTTCAAATAATTCCATGTCCTGTTCACACTAATCTTGAGATCTGTCTGACAGCTTCTATTACATTTGACCTAAAATTACTTCAACAAGAAAAAGAGAAATTAGTTGTTCTTAATATATTTTGCATGATTACAAACACATTTTGGAAATTCAGAGCATAAAGAGAAAAACAGTAAGTGTCCAGACAGGTGGGATGGTTAGCTGAAAGCATTTTGCTTCCAAGCAAACTACTTAGGAGTGAGCGCTGTGAAACAATCTAGAGAAGCTAATGCAAAAGATGACTTATGACTGCATAATCAAACCAAGCCATGGTTAAATGTCTGATTGTGTCTACTGCATATGCATCGCAAGGGTTTCCTTTTCACAGGTGGCAACTAGAATAGTAGTGCTCTGTGTGTACAAGACCATGAACCGGGGCAGATCTGGGAGGCAGGGGGAAGAGGAGTGGTGTACAATCAAACACCCTTTTCTCCCTGGTTTGCTGCTTAGAACTCTGGTCTCAGCTATTGGGTGCATGTACAAGGAGCTCGCCATTGCTGTTGCACTCTTCTTTCCAGCATTCTAGACCTACCATTGTGAATTAAGATTGCTACTAGTAAGACACAGGTCAATCAAGCATCAGCAAAAGATTCAGGCACTCTTGAATCAGAAATCAAATACTATAATCAGAACCATGCAAATAATATTTTGAGTCAATGACAAAACTGACAAGTTGCATGAAAATTTCATTTTGGGCTGAGCCAAAAGATAATTCTTAGCTTGGTCAGGGCAAAACAAAATTAAAAAAGATCTAGGGATCAAATGGAAAAAAAAAAAAAAATCCTAGGCACAAAACTTTTAAACTCTTTTTAAAAAATCAAATCAAGTTGTTTTAACTTTGCGAGACAAAATGCCACTTCCAAATGAAAAGTAAAACTGCTTCAATTAAAAAATGTCACAGTAACACATTTGAATGTCTCCAAATGTCTTCTCTTCAGTTTCCTAGCCCAAACTATTTGCCAGTTTTGACCCAAATTTGCCATTTTTTTTAGCTGACCTCAAACTGGATATAAAATATCCATCATAAAAATTTGCCCAGCCATAGTTATAATCATCTGGGCCTAGATGCATGGAGCATCAATTTAAAAGCAGACCAGAGAATGAATCTGGCTAGTGGTGGACAAAAGCCTTCCTCTTAAATACTGTAGGAAAGCACTAATTATAGAAAGCCAACTTGCAGAAAGACTTTTATTCCAAACAAAGATTTCTATACTGTGTAAAGTAATTCTGGTCTGCAAAGGTAAACCAATATAGTTTCCTGTTTGCCCACACAAACACAGCAATCAGCCCACCTCAGTAGTGGATTTAATGACCCATTATGCACCTACAAAGTAAAACACAACTGACAGTCTGAAGAGACCTTTTTTAAAACTGTGTTACTCTATGCTGCATAATCAGTGTTCTTTCACTTGTTTAGGCTTTATATAGGCACATCAACATTGCATTGTCCAAGTCCTTGTCCTTAAAAATATCCACAATACAAGGCGATAGCTACATTTGTTAGGAGAGCAATAAAGTGGATACTATCCACCAACATTCCTTCAGAAGTTATTTAGAATCATAGAATAATAGAATATTAGGACCAGAAGGGACCTGTAAGATCATCAAATCTGGTCCCCTGCCATGGGCAGGAGGTAGTTGGGCTCAAACAAGCTCAATGAGGTGCTTGTCCAGCCTCCTATTGAACACCTCATGGGATGGCGACTGTACCACCTCTGCTGGGAGTGTATTCCAGATTCCAGATACCCTTGTGTAAAATAAGTTTTTCCTTATGTCCAGCCTAAATTTGTCCTCAACTAGCTTGTGACCATTGGATCTTGTCCTCCCAAGGGGCACCTTTCTGAAGAGTTGCTCCTCTAGATCTTGGTGTTCGCCCTGACATACTTGTAGGCGGCTATCAAGTTACCTCTCAGTCTTCTCTAACTCAGACTGAACAAACCCAGTTCACGGAGTCTCTCCTCATAGGGCCTATCCTCCAGGTCCCTCATCATACAGGTGGCCCTTCTCTGTACTCTTTCAAGGTTATCCACATTCCTCTTTAAGTGCGGTGCCCAGAACTGGACACAGTACTCCAGCTCTGGCCTTACCAATGCTGAATAGAGGGGGAGGAGCACCTCTTGGATCAGCATTGGCTGATACATGCCAGAGTTCTATTTGCCCTGCTGGCGACTTCATCACACTGATGGCTTATATTCATCCTCTGGTCGATTGTCACCCCCAGGTCCCTTTCAGATGCAGTGTCCACCAGGGGACCACTACTCATCGTATAGTTATGATGGGGGTTCTTCCTACCTAGATGAAGGAACCGGCACTTGTCCCTATTAAACCTCATCTGATTGTGTTGAGCCCATAGGACCAGCCTGTCAAGGTCATTCTGGATCCTTACCCTGTCCTCAGATGTGCCTGCATTTCCCACAGCTTGGAGCCATCTGCAAACTTAATCATTGTGTTTTCCACTCCCTCATCCAAGTCACTGATAAAGACGGGTCCAAGACACTTCATGGCAATATGATATGACAGTTGCTTGCATTCATTTGACCAAAGTTGAGTAAGAGAAGAAAAGACAAAGGAAACAATTCAAATAATGAAAGAATAGACATTAATATGATTTAGAATATAACCTATTAGGAACATTTCTCTATTCTCTAGCCTTATTTAATCAACTTTTGATATTGGGGCAGATAATAGAGTAAAACATTCAGGTCCACCTTAGGATTTTCACTGGGACTGAATTGCCCACTTGTAGGTGTACCAAGTTACTGTTTTTTAAAAACTTAATTTTTGAAACTTAGGTAAGAACTCCTTTTGCCCTAACAGGCTGGCGACCTGCTAGAGGCTTTTTAAGACCTTAGGATTTTTTTTTAAATTAAGATTTTTTAAGAATGTTATTTCTTTAGATGAATGTGAATTTTATCAATTTTACTGAGTTGCTTGATATGCCTTACCTGTTTTGGTTGGTCATTTATATCTGATTATTAAATAATAATTGGGTATAATTAGCTGTGAGAAGCTTTGGGTGCTGATTCAATCTGGAGGAGATTTGGCCCGATTTGGCGGCTGAATCGCTGAATCTGAATTGAATTGGGAGACCCATTAAAAGCTCTGAATCAATTTGAAGCTCTCTGAATCAATTTGGAAAAGATTTGGAGAGCTTCGGGGAGATTCAGGCAGTCCCTGCTCACTGCCGCAGGGAGCTGGACCCGTTCTCCATGACGGTAAGTAGGGGGTGGGGGGGAGGCTGAAGGAGGGGACCATGGGGGAACGGGCACCAGGCCCCATCCCCTGCCTGCTCCCCCATCCCCTGTGAGCACCCTCAGCCCCCACCTGCTCTCCCAGCCCCATCAATGGCTGCCCCGCCTGACCCCAGTGTCTCGGCTCTTTAAAAAAAAAACCAAAAAAACCCCGCACTCACCAGCTCCTGCCAGGCGGGGGGGGGCAATCCCCACTGCCCCGCGCTGTATGGGGGGCTCTGCCATGAGCCCCCATCCTTCCCCCACTCTCTCAGCCCCATGAATGGCTGCCCTGCCCAGCCCCAGTGTCCCGGCTCTTTAAAAAACAAAAAACTCTGCACTCACCGGCTGCTGCAGCAGCCTCAGGGCTTCTGGGGAGCTCATGGCAGAGCCCCCCATGTAGCCCTGGGCAATGTGGGGCAGCAAGGATTGCCTCCCTGCCTGGCAAGAGCTGATGAGTGCAGGGCTTTTTTTTTTTTTTTTTTTAAATAGCTGGGACACTGGGGCTGGGTGGGGCAGCCATTGATGGGAGAGCGGGTGGGGGACAGGGCTTGTTTGATTTGGAGATCTGGCCGATTTGGCAGTGGCTGAATTTCTGAATCAGATTCGGCCATTTTGATTCGGGGCAGTGGTTCAAATCACGGAATCAAATAGTGAATACTAGTGAATACTAGCCACTTTGCACAGGCCTCATTCAAATAGTGAATACTAGCCACTTTGCACAGGCCTCAAGTGGATAGCAAAATGATGTCAAGCTTTCCCACAAGCTTCTGAAGAAAGGACAGTTTCTTTAAGATATGTGCGTGTGTGTTTACAGAGACCAACTCAATAAACACCATATTCTAGACTACAGTATTTAAGTGCTACTGAAATTCAAATGACAATTATTATTAATAAAGGAAACATACATTGTCTACAGCAAGAATCATGACCCATTGAAATCCCAATATGCCTTTGTAGTTGGACTGTGGGAAGCATCCTATATAGTATTGAAACAGAGTGGTGCAAGGCAGTATCTATTGTATTTACCACATGAACTCAGGAAAACATCAAATAGAAATTTATTTTTGTCAGTAAGGAAGAAATCAGGCTACCATTTGGCATGAAGGAACAGCGCCTCTCTTTATACGAGCTCAAATCCATCTTCCTCATGCTATTACCTTTTTGAATCTAAGGACAAACCTTGTTCATCTGCTCACTTGACTAACCAACACTGGTAAGTGAGTAAGGTGAACAGGTTGCCCCTCCAGTGCAATAATTCCTTATTGCCAGGACACTTCCCCTTTTGGATATTAATTGAAGCCCGTAACACTTATAACACTGGACTGCAATACTGGAAACCATGCCCTTGCTTCCAGGGAGAAACTGCAGAGACAGGCAGCATTTATGATGCAATTGATGTTTCATTAACAGTTCTAGTTTTCTGTACCAAACTAGCAAAAAATCCCTGCTACATTTAGCACCAACTTCTCAGTACAAACATGGAACTACTGCCATTAAAAAGACCTAGAACACCTGAAAAGTATTTTGCATTTGCACATCTCTGCAAACCTAATCTGCAGAGACATGTACTATCAGGTAACCACACCAGCTAATCTGCCAATGCAGATCTTTTTGAGGGGCAGTTAGGACAGTGAAAATCACTAGCATAATTAGGGCAGAGCAGCAGGGCAACAACCACAGGTGTTGTTGGGGAGGGAGGGAGCGAAAAGACTGGCTTTTGTCACAGCTGCACAACTGCAATCACAACAGCAGCAGCAATCAGAAATCGCCACCATCCCTTTGCATTACAGCCACCGTGGGTGCCCTGCCATGTTATTAGACAGCTGGCAAAAATGGAACCCCCTGTGTAATGGAATGTGTTGCAATAATGGAATGATTGCCACCTACAGTCAACGGCAAAAGGTTGCAAACGTTAACTAGAAAGGCTCAGGTACATTTACCTGAAGTTGAATAATATTAACCTGCTCACCTAAGAAAACCAACTACATTTCTGTCTTCTTGATGAGTTGCTTAAGCATGTGCATTTAGGATACATCTCTGTATTCTCACGATATCCTAAACCCAATCTTTTGGAGAGGTGGAGCTCATGATACATTTGAAGTTCCCACCTGTTAAAATGCAGAATTGCCATGTGACCACTAGATGGGAGCATTGCTTATTATACACTTGAACTATTTTACTTTTTCTGAATAGCAGTTTCTTTAGCCAAGAGTGCTGATATACCTGAACCTGCTGCACTGCCTCTGAAATGACACAGCCAGTATGTCTATTACTAAATGGATAAGTCCAGATGATTAAAAACACAAAAATAATCTTTCTAATTTTCTGTTATTCCTAGTTTAATTGGCATAATGCATTCCATTTATAATGTAGATACCACACTAATCACTAGAATCTAAAAACATGCATTCCCTTTTTTCTTTTTATGTGTTCCATTTTTTGCCTGCAGCTGTGCTATTTCTTTTACATCTTCATTCTGTCCTGTCTTTTCCTGCTACTGATGTACTCCACAGTTATTTTCCTCATAACCAGTCATTTAAGTGACTGACAGCAGGCAACTCACCAACACCATTCTGTAGGTTCAGAAGAACCAACTCAAAAACTTCCTAAAATATTAGGAAAAACTTCTTCACAGTCACCGTGTCCAGACTGTGGAATAAGCTCCCTCCAGAGGTGGTGCAATCACCTACCCTGGAAATCTTCAAGAGGAGACTGGATGGTCACCTTGCTGGGGTCACCTGACCCCAGTTGTCTTTCCTGCCTGCTGCAGGGGGCTGGACCCAATGATCTTCTCAGGTCCATTCCAGCCTTACAATCTATGAATCTATGAAAAACTATCAACCTTCACTTGAGGCTGCTGCATATCAAGACTCAAACTGATCTTGTCTCATCTGCCAGAACTCACAAGGTTGCCATGTTAGCACTAGAAAGATTTTTCAACCCATGCTGAGCTCCATGTTGCCATATACCTGATACGTATATAGTCAAAGCAAGGTGTAACAATTTACATTATTGCAGTAATGTAATATATTTATATTAATAATATAAAGACTTAACTGTGGACCCTGCTACATGTTGCATATGTTACACAATTAACTGGTTAGTCACATAATAAATTTGTACTAGCCACAAGTGCAAAGTAGAATTGGCCACAAGTACAAAGCATCACACAAGAAACTGGCTAATTGGGCAATAAATTTAGACCATCCACATGTGCAAAGTAATTATCACACCATAAAAATGACTATCCAGCTACAAAAAGAGCCAATCAGCTATTAAGTTAGTGCTTGAAAATGTGTAATATCTCTGTAGCTGGTTTCTACCCAGCTTTGATTTGAATGTGCAGCAGGGCCCTGCAATGCAACCCATCATAGGCAAATGATTACACATAGTTTACTGTCTGCAGGTAGGTTTACATAGGTGAGCTGGCTAAACCAGGTAGTTTGGGTCCTAATAGCAAATTAGCTGTGGTAATACAGAGCTCAACCCCAGCAGTAATACCCTCCTGAGAGGCAGATTAAATAAATGTAGTTAGTTCACAGAAAGCTTCACACTGTGTAGTACCAACAGCATAACATATTCTGTACCTACCTAGTAGGGCTGTGTGAGGCTTTGGACCATGCTTCAGATCCAGAGAAGCTTTGGTTGCTTCAGCATCCAAAGCAGCATGTCCAGATGGAAGTGCTGGCTTCTTTAGTCTTTCCAAACCGCTTCTGAAAATCTTCGGAGACCCGGCCATAGGGTATAATGGGGGAAATCAATAAAATATCTCTCACTTTGTTGTTTTTGTCTGATTTAGGTGAACCTTGCAGGGATGGTAGCCTCTGCTGAGAACATGAAGCCTGCGAAGTTTCAAGAAGATAGGTGCAGAGGTTTGGGAGGAACTGCACCCCAAATTCTTGAAAGCAAAACTTATGTCACATGTATGTGTTACACCACAGTGGGGCGAAAACTGCAGGGGTGGTGACCCCTGCTAAGGCCACAAATCCTGCCAAGTTTCAAGGAGATAAGTTCAGGGGCTTGGGGGAAACTGCAACTCAAGCTGCGGACAAGCAAAAATCATGACATGAGTGACACTGTGTATGTTAAGGTGCAGCAGGGTGAAAGCTGCAGGGATGGTAGCCTCAGCTGGGGCCATGAAGCCTGCCAGCTGTCAAAGAGATAGGTGCAGGGGTTCTGGGGTCCTGCACCCCTATCTGCTGATAGGCAAAACTTGTGACATGGGTGCTTGCTTGTGCAACTGACTGTCTCTGTCTTGGGGCAGTTGATTGTCTGTATTGATTAGCAAGGGTTAACACCTGCAAAATCACAGGCTAAGGAGAAGAAATAATCAATACAGACAATCAACTGCCCCAGAAGCCCTTCACCTATCTCCTTGACAACAGTTGGCAGGCTTTGTGGTAGAGTTTCCCCCAAAACCCTGCACCTATCTTCTTGAAGCTTGGCAGGTTTTATGCTCTCAGCAGAGGCTACCATCCCTGCAAGTTTCATCCAAATCAGACAAAAAACAACAATGTTATAGATATTTCATTGATTCCCCATTATACCCTTTGGCCGGATCTCCAAGGCGGCTTCGAAGCTTCGGAGCTGCTTTGGCTGGATTGAAGTGGGAAACCGATCCAGAGCACTGGATCAGATCGCGGCCATCCAAAGCGGCCGGATCCAAAGTCGGATCGAATAGCTGGCTACTCGCACAGGCCTACTACCTAGTCTCCATCTCTCTCTCTCTCTCTCTCCTCCCCACCCCCCTAGCAGGTGAAAGTATATATATTAGTGTGGAAGAGGGCATGTTCACAGCCATAAGCATATAACAATATGCAAAGCTAGTATTTACTTTTCTGGATCTCTCACTTTGCTAGTAAAAAAGCTTGTTCCAGGATAAATAAATAATAGATCTAGTTAAATTATATTTATCAAATAGATGAGAACCAAAAACAGATCTTTTCTTGTTTTGCTGGTCATTAACAATTTTTTTCACAATTTTTGTCCATGCAATCTTCTGTAATTCCTCAAAGGGTGCATCTACACGTGCCCCTATGGCATTGTTGTTACTGCACTGCAGTAACAGCCATTACTGTGTTGTGCCGGCTGTGCACAGTTATTTTTAACCATTATATCACCGTAGCAGCATGCTCTAGTGAGGATGTAGCTGTGGCATCACTATGGCAACATAGCTGTGGCATCACAGTTTGTGCCCACCAATGCTACACCGCTGTAGCACATTGCTACGGTGATATAGAATATCATGTAGACACACCCAAAGTGTGTGAATGGGGAAAAAAAACCAACCATTGACTCTGAGGGTGGTTTCTGAACTGTTAAATTTAACTATTTCTTGAAGGTGGTTATCATGGATACTGGTTCTCCTTCCTAACTGGATGACCAAACTGTAACAGGAGATGAAAAATGGTTATTCAGAAATGAATACCAAATAGTGACTTCATGCCTTCAATCTCCTTCTAAGGGAATACTAAAGGTTATCCATCCCTTTCAGATCCCGATCTCCTGGACCTCCAGCCTATACCACCTACTCTTTAATCATCCCAAGAGCCAAAAAATGTGGACATTAGAAAGTTTGATTTTACCCCCATCTTGTGGGTTCACAAAGAAGGCAGCCTTCTGTTGCTTCCCAACTGGCTTACTCCACCCCTTGTAGGGTCTTTTCTGCAGACAGTTGTTGCTGAAGACGCTCTCTAAGGAGGTCCCCATCCTCTCTAGTACTCATCTTACTTGCCCTTTATCCCCGCTGTTACTTGCCAGTTACTTAATGACAGCTGAGGGAGTAACTATTCTGTCTATTAAGCCCTTTTGGGCTGTTGCAGTTTGGAGTATACCCCATTACATGAATTTATGAAGATTTGGGCATTCACAGATATTTTTATGACCACGTAGCAGGTCATGATTACAGCATGCTCCTCTAAATAGGAGTGAACTGAGCTTGAATCAGTTGTTCATGGATGCAGTTTTTTTTCTGGCAGTAGGTACGGTATACAAGGAACATGGCTTTCTAACACAATAGGCAAGCCAAGCTTTGTCCAGAACACAATTTTATAAAACTGCTTATTCATGTGTGTGTAATTAATGTGTCCTTGAATCAATTACTTACTTTATAGTTAGTCATATATTCTTTTTAATTATAATGTTATCACAATAATGTTATGGTTATCAGATAATTCATACATATGCATTCAATTTAAGGGGCACATTCTATTTCAATGGATTAGAAGGCACAATTAATATAATTCTAAATTTGCCTGTAGTAATTATAATAGGGTCATTGTACTTGAATATCAAATCTAAGTACTGTATGATATCACTGAATATGTAGGCTGTATTTGCTCTGCGAATTTAACAGAGATATACGAACAAACAAAAGGTAACATTATGTTATGATTCAATTTATAATGCCAGTATTTACTAAATAACTTCTGAAACAATGAGTCCAGTTTCTCAGCTATGTCAGAGTATCTCTGGGTACTGGTGATGACAGGAAAAGGGGTAAAAGTGTCTTATTGTCACCTTTACACATTCCCAATGTTTGGGGCCGTGGGGAGCCACTTTGACTCCATGCATAACTTAGAGCAGACTCAAGGCTCTTCTATTTATTCTCAGCTGCCCTGATATACAATAGACCAGCGGTTCTGAACCAGGGGTACATGTACCCCCAGGAGGTACGTGAGATATATTTCATACACTGTCTAACACAGGTTGAAGGGCCTAAAAAAATGTCTTGGCAATTGAAAGGAGGTACATGAAGTCTCACTCTGAGACCAAGGGGCACGTCGACTGAAAAAGGTTCGCAACCGCTGCAATAGACTGTTTCACAATTTGGGATCAATGAGTGAAGCAGTGCTTCAGGCATATCCCTTCTCAACTTCTTCTTAATAAGCCTCTTACACACCAGGGGTGCTCATCTATGCATGCTTACTCCACTAATCCCAGCAAGCTAAACCAGGGGTATCTTGATTTTATAATGGCACAGTGCGATGTATGATTATAAACAATGAGCTAAAAATTTGCAAATTTTGAAGTCAGTGGATTTATTGTGCATTTATACTGATATGACTCAGAACGAAATTTGGTCCAATGAAAATCAGAAAGATGAAGCCAAGCCTGTCCATATTTCCTTTTCAGCAACTATTGGCTGCCTAGAATGCAGTAGACTGCATATATTGATGGGAAAATGTAATAGAAACGAAGTCCTTACCATCTGTCGTCTTTGATTCATTTCCCACATTTGACTGATCTTTCTTGTCTGATTTGTTATTATCTTCTTTTAATTCACCTGGAAACAAGTATTAAGACATATGCATCTTCAGTATAGGATGCAACTTAACATTGCCTCTCACCCAGTCATATCAGAAGGTTCAATAAAGACTTTTTAATGGAAACTATGATACACAGAATTAGTAGAGATTTTGTATTAACATACCACCATGTAATGAATCACCAAAGCTTGGGTTTTAACAGGAAATTCAAGCTTTGCAATACACATTTTGTAAATCTAATAAAATGTTATAATCTCTTTAGTGCAAAATTGAATCTATATTGTAATCCCATTCACAATGACAGAAACTATGCCCAATACACTCAAATGTAGTCTAGTCTTAGTTCTATAAGCAAGAGGTCAAATTTGCATATCATCAAATGGCTATACCTTGAAATGGCCAAGGATACTTAGTAATAAGAAAACCCTTGTTTTAAAGGGTCCAACCCACCTAGACATATCCAAACAATCAAATTCAGTTTTGTTTGACTCTTAGTTATTAGCCACCTCCATTACCGGATAGTATCATAAGGTTGGAAGGTACCTCGGTGGTCATTTATTCCAACTCCTTGCCTGAATGCAGGATGCAGGGGCGATTAGTGCCTCCTGAGTCTGCAGGGGTACAATTTGTAGGCGGGCCCGGGAGCAGGCCCAGGGGCAGGCCAAAAGCTCCATATCCACTTCTATACCTCTGTGCCACAGCTTAGTGCCTTCCCCGCCTCAACATGCCACCAGCCTGCGTGGCAAAACACTGCCCCATGCTGAGCGGTGCCAAGTTGGAGGTCAGTCTCAGGGGCACATCCTTCCCCCTGTCTCCCCCTTACCAGTCACTTGTGGGATGCAGTATTCCTATGCCATCCCAGACAATTGCTTAAAAACCACCAGTTAAGGGGGTGCTTTCAGTTTCCATAACTTGTTCCATTGCTCTACTGTTCTTACTATTAAGAAGTTATTTCTGAGATTTAATTTCAGTTTCCTTTGAGGCAGTTTGAAACCACTGCTTCATGTTCTGCCCTTTTTTAACTAGTCCTCTAACAACAGGTAAGTTACATTTCACATCACTGGGTGGCTGGTCTTGGACTCTCTCTGTCTATATAGAGAATCTTGGACTCTCCAGGCGAAAAGGGCTGGGCCTTTACCATATCTATAAGTGATACAGAATGAAGATAGCGGCTGGTAAACCTGAAGTGTATTTCCCTGGAATGTGCTTTAGGACCACCCTCACCCTCCATCCTCACTGACCAGATACCTCAATCACATACAGTAGAGACTGTAACAAGACTACCCAAACAAGAGTTTTCCACCTTTTCTTTCTCCCCTGTCACTCATCCTTTCCTCAGTCTATTAGAGAATCTGCAATAGGTCTTACCCCAGATATTCACATCTGGAGTCACAAAATCAGGATGTTTGGTCTGGCCTTCTCTGGCAGTCTGTTGGTCTGAGATAGACTAGCCCATGATGTAGTCTGTTCCTCAAGGGCTTCAGGCTTTAAACAGTGATGCTGCCACCATGTAATATAATCATGGAGCTGGGGCAACAGGCATGGGCCTGTTTCATCTACCCTTCTTCCCAAGGAGCCTCTACTAGTAGAGTCCTAAAGCAAAAGCTGCAATTTAAAGCTGTCGCCCCAAGACAGAAGCTGCCTTCATCTTCCCAATGCCTGAAGAAGAGTGTTTGTGCCTGACAGCTTGCAAAGAGCTTCCAACTATTTAGTTGGTCTGATAAAAGATATCACATCTACCCAAAGAACCTTGTCTGCCTATGTCCTTAGACCAATACGGCTACAACCAACAACCCTTCACATTCTCTTAATAGTTAACACTCTGGCTGCTAAAATGCCCAGTATCTGTTAAAAAGCATAAAAATCCTCCTGCAGGTTTCCAACCAAAGACAGATTAATCACAAATCCTAATACAGTGACAGTAAATTAGAACTTTACTAATTCACATTAATGAATAGTAAAACCAGAGCAGACAATCACATTTAGCAAATTATCCAGCATCCTATAGTGTCCATGGGAAAAAGAAAGAAAGAAAAATATTCACAGATTCCTTCAGCAGTATTCAGTCAGGAACAAATTCCAGGCAAAAAGGCCCTTGTCTTTATTTTAAGTCACAAGCACCTTTCTCTGTACTGAAACCTTCATTGTGTTTTAGTTCAAAACTGTGCCACTACCATTTTCTCAGTGCTGATGCACATTTCGCCATTTATACAAATGTATGTGCCACAGTGCTGGGCACTTTTAAAAGATTCAAACAAATTCTGAAATCTGGACTCATATTATACATCTAAACCAAAAGTGTATTCCTTATTTCAACAGTCCTGTATCTATGTTTGAAACATATATGATGCAAAATCCTATTGAAGTCAACAGACTTTGATTTTAACAAGATTTGGATCCCGCCCAAAGTGCTCAATTGTGTCTCATAGGCACCAACCTGATTTGGTCAGACAAAGAGAGATGACTTTATAGACTGGTTTGTACACCAGTTAGAACCTGGAAGACCGATTCAAATCCTGGTTCTAATAAATATTTAATTATTTATACAAAGTGGAGCAGCTCCAACAAGAAACAGAGAGACCCCTATGCTAGAGTACCCATTAGCACACTGGCTAAGTCTCTCATATAGAAAACTGAAGTTCAAGTCCCAGGTCTGAATGTATCAGATCAAAAATGTGAAATGGGGTCTTTTCACTTCCTTTGGGCTTATATGATTGGAATGAGTTCTCCCCTTTTGTTTTTCCAAAAACCCCCAAAACATCATTATCCTGATGCAAGGTGAAACATGTTTTGAATTCTCAACAATTGTTATAGAATGGGAAAATTATTTCCCACCCATCTGTAGTCCTAAGGCAAAACCTTGCAAGTTTTATAAGTAATGGATATAGGAGAAGGGAGGACAACAGAAGCTTGATAGAACATCAAAGTCATCTATCTCCTCAGCTCAAATGTTTATAGTTTTGCGAGCCAATTTTCTGACAGACTCCATACCGCTAGTTTATGGGGAAACTTATGGCAGAATTGGGTCTTCTGTCTGAAAATTAAATTTCTGCTTAGTTGAAATCTGCTTAGATTTTAATGTATGGTTATGAAAATGTGTGCGCCCAGGTACAGAAATTTACTTGTCCATTTTCTGGTGACTGATGATAATGAGAAATGAATTATATTTTATGTGTCCATTGACAGAAATAAGTGACTTGCCCCCAAGTGTGTGTAGGTAAAGATGATGAATACCCCTATGAATATTACTACACAGCATGATGCCTCTGCAAAAGCACCCAGGCTGTTACTGAGAAAGATTTCAAACTAATATGAGGAGACAATTTTTTTTACCTTTCCCTGAATATTACTTATTATGAATAGTGAGCTTTTGAATATTATAATAGCTGGCCTACCATATTGCCAGCAGCACAGTAGAATGATAAGGATAATGATCTTTCTGGAAGAAATTCCCAAGCTGAGGCAATAATAAGGAGAATGCTTTACAATGAGATATTAACATACAGGCACTGCATAAAGAAACTGCATTCAAATCAAAGAGATGAGGATTATGTTTCATGAGTCTGAAAAGACCCTGCAATGACTGTAACTCATAAAGGCCTTTTCCGATAAATTAAAGAGCATGGTTGCTATTCCTGAGAATGACACTAATTTTCAGAAATCATTATAATTCCTTTCAAAGCATTTTTGACACCTACAAGAAGGAGATATGACCACAGAAGGAACCATTGAAAGCATGAGAGTGTTCTTAACCCCCATATTGTTCTTGAATGGGGACTATGCCTGCCTTCATGTTTGTACCATCCTGAGCTTTAACTCAGCAGATGCTGTATGAGGCACATAGGAAAGAAGGCCAATGTGTATTATAACAAACAGCATAGCAAAGGAAAAGAAGAGTAGAGTGAGAATTAAAAGCTCAAAGCCAGAGCCTCTGCTTTCACTGAAATCCATGAGATTACTGAAGCAGTGTAAATGGTTGTTAAACTACCCTAAAACAGTTCATGAGCCACTTTTGGCTCCCCCTTCCTCAGCTAACTAAGCACAAACTCCGTGAAGCTGAGGATTGCCCCTGGAATACTATTTCAGCTTCCCTATTGTACAAAGTATTTGACAATGGCATTTCTGTGTGGGAGCAACACCTGGCCTTTACCTCTGGGGAAAAGGGCCCCAACTGCACAAGAATAATTCTGCAAGGGTTCAGCTAACCTTCTCTGCAGGAGCTTCCAGAGTCCAGCTCCAAGGACTTCATCTGACACTTCCCACAGGAACAAGGAGATGACTCCAGTTATTAACTGGAGCAGCCTCCACAGAAACACACCAGGACCTTCTTTTTCATGGGTCGCTCACACATCTAGATGAGACAACTGGCCTTGGGCTTGGGTTTAATGAATCAGGGACAGAATTTACCGTTCTGGACACGCTGTTTTTCCTCTCCTGTTGCTTGTTGTGAATCAGTTCCCTTGTCTGTTCTAGATGCATTTTTTCCTTGAGAGGCTTCGTGCTTGTTCACACCAGTCTGCCGAGTCCCATTTACAGGATTCTTGCTGGATTCCGCGCTCTTGCTTTCCTCTGGATTTGTTTCTTTGCTGTTTTCTGAGTTGGCTTCCGTGGCATCCTCAGCTGGCATCTTTTCATCTTTGTCTTCTGTATTCTTTTCATCTGTACCCTGGTGAGCATTTTCCTCTGCTTCTCTTTTAGCTTTTTCTTCTGCATCCTCAGCAAAGGGAAAATCACAAGGAAAAAGAAAAAGGGAAATCAAACTCATCAGTAGATTGGCCAAGAGTAACATTGTACACCATTTGAATTCCATTTAATCCATTTCCTCTCAAATTATCTTTACTTAGATAAGCATAGAAATTAACATGACAAGAAAAAGGCACAAAAACAGCAAACCATATGAAGGTGTTCAGCCTCATTCCCATTAAAAGCCATTTTTATACCAATAAAGTTGCTTTGAAAACCTTGCCCTGATTGCAATTACAAATCTGGATCACAGGCATATTTTATAGTTATCGTAGAACTTGGATGCTTTGAAGGGTTGGGTCCTTTACTCCCCTGCAAAGATGTGGGCTTCTGAACTAGCTAGGTGTGTACCTGTAGCCCAGAACTGTGCAGGACTGCTGTGGTGCACCAGCGGTTTGCTGTACCTTCGATTGCAAAGTGTGCTGCTTTGCTGATCAGCTGCATAGGACACTAGTGAGCTCCAGCTAAGTAGAGGAGTATTTTTTTTTTTAATCAAAGCTGCAGCAAACAGCAATGTCACTTGTCTTTAATTTGGCAATCCGTTGTGTACTGAGCATATAGTGAGCCACCAGATGTGAGTAGTCACTGTTCTACTGTATTTTAGAAAAATGCAAACTAGAGGAAGAAGAGCTTAATTATATACAGGTGTGTGTATGGAGAAGGAAGTTAGTGTTATCCATGACATGAGCAAGTAAAAAAGTCAATCAAACCCTATTTAGGCCTTTGCCTGACTCTTTGAATAGTCCTACATGCTTTGATTTCAATCCGTCTCCTTGGCTGCCTTCTTTTCTGCTCCTTCATCCCCATCAGTCCCTTTCCTTGAGCCATCCTCCCTTTCTTTGTAGTCTAATACTATTGGCCCTGATACCTTATAGTGATCCTGAAGGATCACAAAGTCCTTTACACAGAAAGTAGGGCAGGGTGACTCTGAAGTCAGACAGATGGTAGGTAGGGTGGCACCTTAGAGACACACAGGTTCAGACAGGCATAAGCTTTTACAGGCAATAACCTACTTCATATTCATAATTTATAGCATCTAACAAAGTAGGTTGTTGCCTACAGAAGCTTAGGCATCCCTGAACCAGTGAGTCTCTAAGGTGCCACTCTGCCTACTGTCTTTCTGACTTCAGAGTAATACAGCTAACCACCTCTCTGCTTAAAGTCCTTCATAAAAATGTAATGACAGATGGATTACAGACATGGATTTCTTCATCCACTAAGGAATGCAGCCATCTCAGAGGCTGTGTTTAGCATTGGAAGGAAGAACTTTATCCAAGTGAAAGTGCAAGGGAAGGGTAAGTAAATTGAGCCTCTTTTCTCTACTTCCCTAAGCCTGCCTCTGAGCTAATGTCACATTATCAGAAACCCAACCATCTCACTTCTCTGGCTCTCTCACTCTGGTTCCTGCTTCCCACTGAATCAGCCATCTCCTCTAGTGATCTTGAGAGAAAAAGTTATGAAGTGTTTCAAGCAGCTTTTCATATGCAGCACACATTCTTTTGATAATTGAATCAGAATCACTTCTGTGAAAATCCACCAAAAAGAGAAGATGAATGAAGAAAAGGGACGAGAAAACATCACTGGAAAAGAACGTCATTTGTATAAGAGGCATCAATCTGTATTTCCTCGCCAGCAGCTGATAAAAGATAATTAATTTTAAAATTAATAAATTATGGATCACATGAAAATATAATTAAATTAGAGATGAGCCTCCTACTCTTTATTAATGATTTCTGCAATAATCTAGTTTCCATAGATGGCTCAGCACTGCTCACTGTCACTTATACCTTAGGTCCTGAGGTATAGGGATGGCTTTCCAGAGGGCTTTCCCCATCTTGGATTGTCTAAGACATTTGCTACACCTTTGCACACACCTTTACAGTCAAATCACAGGCACAGCTCAAAAAAGATTCAGGGAGGAAGAAGAGGAGGAGATCCCCTTAGAGAAAAATCTATTCTGATACTGCTAGAAGTTTGTCCGTTATCAAAATGAGTATCACAAAATGCTTTACCGGTGCTGTGTTTTTTGTACCTTGGGGCCTGTGTTTATTGTGGTTCTTAATTTGTAGCTATTTAATACTGATCTTTTAAGCTGAAGGAATTCAGCAATACACCCGCTTATTTTTTCCCACCCAGTCCAAGACATTTTCCAGAAAAACTATGTTCCATATAAAGAGAGACATACCGAAGTTACTAATAACAGTATCTTTACAAAAGAGAATAGTTTTCTGCAAATCACTGTCTCCTGTAATAGTAATGGCAATTTCTTCTTCCCTTTGGGTTCCATTTTGCGGTGTGTGATGTTGTGCACTAATAAACAGCTGTCATATGTTCCCCTCTATGTGCCTTCATTCCCATAGTAATGATAATTTGTATTTTAGCACTGCCTAGAGGCCTTAACAGACTCTGAAATGCCTTTGCCCTGAGCATCCTATAAAAATATTGAGAGACAGGCCCTGTCCCAAAGATCTTTTAAGCTAAACAGACAAGATGGACAAAGGATTGGAAAAAAGAGGCACAGAGAAATTACATGACTTGGCCAAGGTCATAAAAATGGTTAGAGGCAGGGCTAGGAGTAGAATCCAGGGATCCTAAATCCCACTGCAGTGCCCTAGCTGCTGGATTATATTACCCAGCTGATAAATAAAAATCCTATGTTTTTAAAGGACTGTACCAGTTTTGCATAAATGTGATCAGTACTGGACATATCCTGACCCCCTGGAAGTTTAGATAAATTGGGGAACAAATTACAACCATCTCCTGGTGACACTGTGCAGAAGAAAATTTAGATTTGCTGACCATTGCAGAAGTAAAAAAAAAAAAAAATCAAAACCACCAAATGATCTTCATTCCCCCCATTTTACTAATGTAGATCTATATATTTACTGCCTTCAAAAAATAAACATGAATTCTTACTTATACTATGTCTTCAGTAGCTGAGAGATTTCTGATATGAGCTACTTAAAAATAAAACTATTTCTTCCATAGTCAATGTAAGCAACCAAACATTTATCTCGGAGACATTATGTGAATTTGTGAAGAACAAGTATGAAGTATTGTGTCAATACTTATTACCAACAACAGCATTATTTAATCAGTGGTACACAATATGCATTTGAATAATGCCTTGACATTTATGAGAGCATTTTGGTAAAAAATAAAATCTTTATGCAAAGCAGTCACTGCAGATGAGTACAAAGCACATTTCAAAGTTAAATATCCAGGAGCTATTAGGGCATGCTGTATGCATTTGTTCTTTGGCAATTTGTAAAATATGTATCATTTATTTCCCTGGTGGTTTCCACTGCATATAAGTTTTAGATAGCCTGAATGTGCATTGTAGATTAAAAAATGGTATATGTTGCAATGAAATCCTCACAACTACCAGTTACCTATTACAGATAAATATATTGACCATTCAAAAGTCATATACTAAAAACCTTTGGGCCACATTAAGGACTAGGGGATGATTTTTTGTTTGGCTTATTTTAATGTCAAGGAACATTGTATTTTTGTATTTGGTTACTAACTTGCCTTCTTCTGTCCCTCTAAAGAGAGCTTAAAATTTGTGAAGAAAAAACTGTTTTGCTGATATAAGAACTAAGCCAAGTCCTCCATTATGCCTGAAATCAAGTCCAAAAATGTTTAAGGGAATTCCAGTCACCTACTTAAAGAGATTATTGTTTCATTGATAAATTATCTATGTTTATTTATCATTTGCAAGCAGGATTCGAGCCTCATTATTCTAGATAATGTCTGCCCCAGAGAATTTATCCCACCCTGCAATTACATAGATTTCAATTTTATAGAAATTTACTACTAGGGTGAGTAGTTCTGATATTTATTTAATAGAACTCTTAAGTTCCCCACCTACAGTGCTGTCGCCACCTGTCGCCAGCCATGCCCCCTCAGCCTCTGAGGGTCCGCAGTGTTCATGTAGCCAGCCATGATAGGGATTCCAGGCTTTCTTCTATGGAGCCAGGTACCTAAAAGCATTGGGAGTCCCAGCTCTAACTAGAGCCACAGATACTGGGATGCCAGACAGCTGCTCAGTGAGCATGATAGTCTCATATATTTTGTAGAAGGGTCTGAGGAGCCTATTTAATACTGGAAATACTGAGAGTCGGTGATTCCACAATTATTTTTTCTTTGAGTCTCCTGTTCATGGGAAATTATGAAAATCTGGCTGTTTGGTTCAATGCAGACAAATTAACTTAAAAGAATTCCACAAATTTTCCAGTTTTATGAAAACTCTGTTTTCAACCAGCTCTGCATAGTAATATATATAAATAATATAATATTTAGGGGTGGACTAGAGAATTTTGGGGTGGAATAGAGAATTTTGGGGGTGATACAAATAGCCAGTATTTAAGGAGGCATATCGGGGCAATACCAATCCAATTTCCAAAACACAGCCCAGCAGCTTGAAGAGCAGTGTCCAGCTGGTAATTCTGTTGTGGTGGAAGAGGTGGGGGGCATCAAGGGGAGTGGGAGGGCAGATCGAGGCCTCTGCAGTGAGAGAGGTAGTGGGGCATGGGCTGGGGCTAGGGCTAGGGCTTGGGCTGGGGCTGGGGCAGGTGCTGCCCAACCAGTGTGGGGCAGGGTGCAGGATGGAGCTGTAGCTTGTCCACAGAGTGCAGGTGGCGTGGCTCCCACTGTTGCATGCACCCTGGGAGGGCATGCCCCCAGATCTACACGTGGGGTGGGGCAGGCAGGCAGCTGCTGCAGGCTGCAGATGGGGTTGCTCTGGGCTCTTCCTGGCAGGGGCTGGGCTGGGCTGCACTTGGAGTGAGTGGCAGGGATGCTGAGAGAGGGGCTATGAGGGAGGCTGCAGCCACACAAAAATTTGTCGTAGCCACCCAATCCGTCTCCTGGTGCCACTGCCCACCCCGCCCTGAGTGCAGCAAAGCCCAGTTCCCTTTTGAAAGAGCCTGGCACAGCCCCTGCTAGGAAGAGCTCAGCACACCTCCAGCCCCAGCCTGCAGCAACTGCCCTGCACACAGATCCAGGGGCATGTGTCCCCCATGCCCTCCCAGGGTATGCACAGTGGTGGGAGCCACCCCACCACCCTGCGCCTCTGAACAAGCTGCGGATCTGTCCCGTGCCCCACCCCCAGCTGGGCAGCACCTGCCCCAGCCCCTGCGCCAGCCTCAGCCCCACTCCCTCCCTCACTGTGGGAGCCTTGATCTACCTCCCCCATGCCCCTTCCTTCCCTGCTCCCCTTCTACCACAACAGACTTACCAGGTGGATGCAGAGCTCCATGCTGCCAGGCTTTGCTTCTCACTGCCTATGTGCTGCAGTCAATTTTCTTTATGGCGGTGCAGATCCAATATCAGACTGATGTATCAGTGCACCTCTAATAATACACACACACACACACACACTCTGTATTGGTGATAAAATATACTAGCTCACTTAAGTAAGGCGCTGAATAACGCAGCAATTTTTCAGAGGAGAGTTTGTAAATTGCGCTTTAAAGAATAAAAAGTCAGAGCTATATTTCTTTTTATTGGGTTCATCTACACAAGATGCTTTACTACAGAGTTGACTAATTAGCTCCACAGTAAAGTGTCACTGTCTACACATGTGCCCCCATTAGGCCAAAGTAAACTAATTAACTGCAGGAAAGTATTGCTTGACACAAGTACTATCCTATAGTGGAGCTATTTACTCTGCCACAATGCATATGTATATGGTGAGGGTGCTATAGTGCAGGGCCTGCCTGCTGGCTAACCCTGCACTGGAACACACTCATGCCCCAGCCAGCCACTCTACAGCACACTGAGTTGGGCACGAGCAGCTCTGGGCTAGGAGGCTGACCCCCTGGGCCCTCTGCCAGCTGATGCTGTACCACTCCAGCTCAATGTGCTGTAGTCCCGGGTGCATATGTAACAGCTGCATCCAGGGGCAATAAACTCTGGTGTGAACTGCACCAAAATTTATTGTGTTGTGTTAAATCATGTGTAGACATGCCCAAATTTAACCTGATCCAAAGCGTATTGAAATCAATGGCTCTGAATCAGGCCTTTGATGGATTTGCTTTCAGTGTTGTTTTGTTCATCTTCATCAACAAGTGGCAGGGGCAGTCTCTGACACATGGTAATGAGGGAAGAGACAGGCAGTACTGTGGCATATAGGGCAGGAATCAGAAAACAGTGTGGCAGATGGGGCAGGAAAAGGGGGATCACACTGGCATGTGGGAGCGTGTGGGGCTAATTTGTGGCATGCCTGCCATAAAGGTTGGCCGCCACTGGTGAGTTAAACAAAATTCCTGTCTCTGAATGTGGGGAGGACTGTTGGCCTATAAAAACAGATAGTTTAAGAAGACAAAGCTCACTTCAGGGATTATGGGCAGAAGAACAGCCAGAGGGGAGGGGAAGGGAGGGAAGGGGAGAAAAACTTGTTTGGTATGAAGGTCATCTTGTTACCTTTGGTTGCTTGTGCTTTCCATTTCTCCCGGTTCTGTTGCACCACCTCAGTCCAGGTGGCTTTAAAACATTTGAAGTCCACAGTGAGTATGGAACAGTTGATTGAGGCACTTCCTTCTGATCCAGTGCTTTTGACACTTGATCTTTTAACTTCTGAGGGGCTAATGCTATTCAAACTGGGAAACAAGATTACAGAATGTAACAGGAATCAGCATTTTATACACCTTATCACATCTAAGAACTGATTAATAATTGGATTTTTTCTGGAATATTATATCACAAACTCCCTGCATAACTAAATACATCTTGATTTAAACTCAGTTTTCCACTGAAGCGGTTGACATGCCATTTTCTCAGTTAGATGAAAATACTGCCCCAAACTTTTACATGCCTTGCTACCAGCTGAAAAATTACTGAATCTCCTAAATCTTTACTTAGGTGCCTCTGACCAGCCTCTTATTCCCTGACTCACCTTTCTATAGGCCACCAGAACCTACAAAACTGGATGCTTGTTAAAAATGGAGGTAAAAGAGGTAGGAGGGTAACTGGAAGTGGGAGAGATGATTAAAACTTGACTAAAACTGGCAAGATAGTTGAACAACAAAAATCAAATCTAATTTAAACCCTCTAAACTTCATGGACATTTTGTATCTGGGCCTTTGGAGGGTTTGGCCATTACAAAAAAGGGGGCCATGAAATCTAGCTTCAGATTCTGAATTTCCCCAGATTTCAGGGGTGTTCACATTTGCAGTTTTTGTATTTTGAGGGATGCATAATACCAAAAATTGCATTCTTTTGCATACTATATGTAGTGATAAAAATTATAATTTAGAGATGCTTCCTAAATTTAGAAGAGTTAGGACCTGAGGGATAGTCTCCTAGGTAGTAGCAAGTTAGTTAGAGAAATAAAGGGTCTTCAGAGGCTTGTCTACTGCTCCACAATAAACGTTATTTAGTTTTTTTCATTCATGTATGCTTGTATTTACTGAATCCTATGATCGCTACACTATATAAGGATGTAACAAGAATGAATGAAAGACAGGGAAAATGTAGGGTGATTATTAATGGCAAGACCTGTTAGACTTTTGAATAGATTCCCAAGATAAAGGGTTAAAATTAGGGCTGTGCAAAGCTTCTGTTGCTGATTTGATTCAGCGGAGATTTGGCCCAATTTGGTGGCCAAATCTCCAAATCGAATCAGGAGACCCTTTAATCTCTCTGAATTGAATAGGAATCCTCTGAATCAATTCAGAGAGATTCAGAAAGATTTGATGATTCGGACACAGACACAGCTTTAAATGTTTTTTCTACATACCTCAAAGTACTAGGCAGCTCATGAACTCTGAGATGCTGGGGTAGATGGAGCATCCCACAGGAGTGTGGGGGGGAGGGGGCAGGGTCCCAGCACACTTGGCAGCAGACCCAGAAGTGGACCAGAAGCACTTCTGAGTCTGCCGGGGAGCATGCAGGGGGCCCCTCCCCCCACACTCCCTGGATCAGCGATTGGTGCCCCCTGGGTCTGGGGGGCACCCACGGTCCCCCCGCAGCTGATCGCTGAGAGGGTACGGAGGGGGTTTGCCAACGAGTACATGGAGGGCCCCCCCACACTTCTGTGGGATGCTTCATCTGCCCCAGCATCACAGTGTTCACAAGCCATGCCTGATACCTCGAGGTATGTAGAAAAAACATTTAAAGTGGTGTCTATGGCTGAATCACTGATTCTCTCAATCAGCATCGAATCTTCAGACTCGGATTTGGCTGAATCGAATCAGGACAGTGATCTGAATCAATTAATCGAATCACTGTCCCCAATTCGGGCTGAATCCAAATACAAATCAAATACAGCCTGTTTTGCATACATGTAGCTGAAATCCCATTACTGGAGACATGTCATCTACAGCTAGACTAGATAACTCCATGTAGTATGTACCCTCTCTGGAATGACAGACGAGCTTCATGACCTAATACGTCTTTTCTCTGTCTCATTTCTATTACTCTTATTTGCAATGGTGAGCCTCATATGGGCTGTCATATTTGTTATAGTCCTAAACCTTTTGAATGACCAACACTAAACTAGTGCCAGATGTATCCCAGAACCTGCCAAGGAGAAACTCTAGTCTTCTTGACAGATCTTCTGTCAAGGTTAAATGAAATTAAGACTTTAGATTCCAAATAATTCTGGCAGTGCCCTAAACATTTACTTAAGTCTAGCAGTAATTAGTCAGATCTGATTGTACTTTATTTCTTTCATTTCTATGACAGTCCCATTTATGTCTATTCTGGGAGACTTTAAGGCAAAGCAGAACCGAATGTCTCTGCTAACCCCTCTATGAGTTCAAAACGAAAAGCAACCACAAAAGTGAGGTACTGCTGATGTATCAAAGGAAGGGCAGACATTGGTACTCACCTGGAACGCCTAAATCCTGACATGCCAGAGCGGGTGGCTTCATCGATGAGTGGTGTTACAATCTTCTCAGTCATGTCAGTTAGCACAGTGAAAGTAGGTTCCACAATGAAATCAATAAAACCTGAATGAAAATATCACAAAGCCAAGCAGAAGAGGTAAGCATTTATATGTCATTACTGCTTATGACTTATCTAACTTTACAACAGGTAGGAAAAAAAAGGATTAAATGTTGAAAGAGGAACTGAAAACATTACAGAGGGAAAATGACATGACATTAATCATAAGCCTGTCATCTAAAGAGCTTGCAATAAAAAGTGGCTTCTTATATGCTGGAAAGCAAGTGTGGCAAATCAGAATATAAACAGATGTTTTATGAGTTTTGTGGGTATCTAAGCCAAATTCCTAGTACAGTTGGATAAGAGCCAACTCTAAAGATGAGAGAGCAGGAAAGAGAAACATGGAATAACAGTAATAATAATGATAGGCTGAGCTAGGTGTCTGTTTAAGGTGGTGTGAAGTTACATATACAAATCCCTTATCAAATATCAACAGGTTTTGGTGAACAGTTCCACTTGAATACTTGCCCAGCTTGTTCTTGTTGACAGTCAAACAGTTTGGAGGCTACTTATTTATTTTTAACAACTTCATTTTATTTTTTTTTAATCCAGAGTAGATGGAAAAATGCACAGTTAAATCATTCATTCTCACAGTATGTGCACAGATAGGTTGTGGCATGGGGAGAGAGAAAAAGAAGTCTTTCCCCAACTGTGCAAGCCACAGGGATAGATCTTCCCACAGGACTCCCAACAAGATTCAGGGTTTTAAGTACTCTACAGCCATGCACGTCTGTCGGGTCCAGCTGTAGACCACTTCTAAGAGGCAGACCATACAATAACTTTAACTCCTGTCTGCTGCAAACTGTTATCTGGGTGTCCCAACTTCCCAGTTCTGTATCTTAATTTGTTTGGATTTGTTTTAAATTTACCCCAACTATTGATTTATTGGGTTTACAGTGCTTCTTCTGGGTATAATATTCAGTGTTGCTATGAAATATTATTCTAAATTATTGCTATCAGCCTAAGCTCCAATTTCTCATGGCTCTTCTCTGAAAATTTCCCTGTGTTTTACATTTAAATTTGCATACCTGCACACTAAAGACAGTAAAGAGAATATGACCATGTGATAATTTTTGGGACCTAAAGGTAAATGACAACCTTAAATCATGTTTATTAGAGGTGTGTGAAGCTTCGGTCGCCAGTTCAATTCAGAGAAGATTCAGCGGCAGAATCACTGAATCTGAATTGAATCAGGATACCCATTAAAAGCTCTGAATAGTCTCAAAGCATCCAAATTGATTTGGAAAAGATTCAGAAAAGATTCAGCAATTCAACAATTCAGAAGGTGGTCTTGCGGGAAAACAGAAACTGAGAAGAGGGAGGGGGAGAGGAGTGGGGGAAAGACTACTTTGATATTGACATCTGTAGCTAGCCAGTGACTGTGATCTTTCCCTGAGTTCATAGTTTCATAGTAGCTAGGGTCAGGAGGGACCTGAACAGATCATCTAGCCTGACCCCCT